AATGACTCTGTAAATGGTTCCAGTCCTCTCCAGGCCCCTCATTTTATGGGATGTTGGTCTTTTCTTACTGGTTCGACTCCTGGTTTCACTTCAGATTTTACCAGACTTGTGTTTCTCGCTCGTCCCGGAGTTCCCAGAGCCCAAACCAACGGTACAGCTGCACCTAAAACTTCATTGGAGATTCCCTTGTCTGCGGGTTTCCCTCGGTGAGTGGGCAGAGCTGTGCTTTCCATGTATTTTCCAGAGGAATATGCAACAGGACAGAGTCCTGAGGAGAAGTCAACTGTGCATTTAACTTGCACAGCAAATCCTGCCCAAGCAATGGCAAAGGACACTCAGCCTGTGGAGAAAGCGATGTGTTCATTTTACGTTCCCAGTCACGAATTCCATGGGTTGCAAAATGGTCTGGGGGACTCCCTGTCCCTGAGGAATTTCACAGCACCAACACTGACTTTCCTTTTGCTAATGGTCCCTCAGGGCCTATGGAATCAGCTGCTCCAGTATCCACTAGAAAATTCATTGTTTCATTCCCCAGCTTACCTGGAAGCTGAGAACTGGCCTGAGGACCAGTCCCCTTCAGTCCAGCCCAATTTCTGCCATAATTCCCATCTCTTCCGATTCTCCCTTCTGTCCGTTTGCAGTTTGGGACGCTCCTTTTCCCATTGTCCCTCCTGTCTGCAACAGGCACCCTGATCCTTCTGGAGGGGTGTTCATCTCCACCCTTTCCCCCAAAATCTACCTCACCCTCTGCCTCCTCCCTGCCCTGGCATGTCGGTTAGGGCAGCTGACAACGGCTTTGGGAATTTCACCCGGCTCTTCTCCTTGTCTTGTCCCTCTTCCCTACGGTTACAGACATCACTTGTACAGACATCACTTGGGAAACAACCGTCCATGATGTTCCTTCTCTCTTCCCGACGAAACGCCTGTTAAACATCCAGCCCCGCTTCCCTCCATTCCAATGGATCCAATGGATCCGAACCCATTCGGGAGGATCCGCCAGGGGGCGCTGCCCTGCGCACGGAGCCCGGGGAGGGGCAGCGGAGGAGGGGGCGGGGATATGCAAATAATACTACCTCGCGGGGACCGCCGGGACACGTCCCGCGCACAGACCCCGCGGCCACGCGCGTCAGCGGGCGCTGCAAAGGGCAGAGCCGTGCGGGCCGGTGGGGAACGCGAGGCCGGACGGGTTCGGGGCCGGGTGGGCGGTGAGCGTGTGTTGGGGGTGGGTGCGCGGTGCGGGGGCGGTGTGGGTTGGCGAAAGCAACTCATACTTACCTGGCAGGGGAGACACCATGATCAGGCAGGTGGTTTTCCCAGGGCGAGGCTCATCCCTTGCACTCCGGGTGTGCTGACCCCTGCGATTTCCCCAAATGCGGGAAACTCGACTGCATAATTTGTGGTAGTGGGGGACTGCGTTCGCGCTCTCCCCTGACAAAGGAGTTATAAGAACAGAAATCGAAAGGATAGTGAGTGACTCTTAATTGGATCCCGCTACCTGAGCAATGTTATCAATGTCCGGAGTTCTGTGGACATCGCTCGCTCCCAGAATCTGGTAGAGCTCCCGTGCCCCTCAGGCCTGGCACTTGTAGGACCAATGCGGCGCTCAGGAATCCTCTGATAAATTCAGGCTCTGCCCCGCCGGGCAAGTCCAGCCCCCGCCGGAGGAACCCGCCCGCTCCCGATCGCGGCTCTGTCCGTGTGGGAGCGGCAGGAAAGCGGAGCCCTGCGGGACCGGACCGGCCTCACCTCTCCCGCCACCGCCCGAAGGGCCGAGCAGTGCCCGAGCTCGGCCCCGGCCCGAGACTCTCACGCCGAGAAGCGGCTCCGACCCGGCCCCGCGCTCGGGCTGCAGCAGACGGTGGCACCTCGGGTCGGCGGCCGGTCCCGCACACTGACCCCGCGGGTGCGACGGAGCGGGGGAGAGACTTCGTCCGACTTGGGTTTGGACAAGATGTGTCCAATTCCCGCCCCCGGGAAGTCCGGCAGCGCTTACGGACCCGACAGCTGTGAGCCGGG